TCAACGTCACTGCTGGATGCTTATTTCAGCATTTTTCTAGCTGCTTTCTTAAAATCTTCATCGAAGGCGTGATAACCTCCAGTGAAATGTGAGGCACTTTAGCTGATGTCAACCAGTGTTAAATAGGCCACTTACTCTTTTTTTGTTTTGTTTTTGTTTTGTCTGTACCAAGGCTTGAATTCTGGACCTTGAGCTTACAGGCAGGCAGCAGAACCATTGAGCTAAATCCCTGGCCCCAGTTTTTCCCATACGGTTACTTTTATTTGTACCAAGGATCCAGCTCATCTGCTTGTGCTTGCCAGGCAGGTGGTGGAACCACTGAGCTAAATCCCCAGACCTTGAAACTCGCTCTTTGAGAGCTTCCATAGTAGACAACACCAGCCACTAGGAAGACTGGAAATTGGATCTGAATTATTATTCTAATTCTGCCATTAAATTGCCATTAACCCAACTTTCTTAACTATATATGGTGGGTTAGAAAAGGGAAAATATTTATAATGATCTGTATATTCACAAGGGACCATTCTGATCTAAACAGAAGATACAGGTGACCAATGTGTGGCACACAGGGTGCTAAAGGACTGAAGTTTCTTCAGCTCAGAAATGTTAAGTAGTCACAACTACAATATGAAATTAACTAAGGTGTGGGAAAAGGTAAAGGAAAAAAATGTTTCATTAACCCTCCTAAAAATGCTTTTCAATGAAAAGACACAATAAAATGATATATTTTACAACTACAGAAAATTGAGAATAGCCATTAAGTAATGCGGCCACTACTTTCCTGATATTGAAGTCTTAACCTTCAATTGTCTCCCTTTTTTAATAACTTGTTTCTCTCTGCTCATTCATTTTTAAATTGAGTTTATTGGTATTTTTTAAAGTACAGTTACATTCATTATTGGGATCTTGTACCTTTACATGACAGGTCTTGGTTCTCATTTTTCCCCTTGTCCCTGCCCTCCCTTCACCCCTTCCCCCCTCCCCTATTTACAGAGACTTTGTTTCCATTTTGTCCTTTTCTCATATTTTTTCTTTTCCCTTATTTTCCTTTCCCATACTCTTCCCACTCCCCTAAACTTTTCGCCCTTTTCTTTCTGTTTCACACTGTAAGTTATACAATTTGGATCTTATTTATACTTTTAGTTTTTCACACCAGAGGAACTATTCAATATTTACATGTGTCGTATTTACTTCACTTAAGAGTATAGGCTCATTATACATTCATTTTCCTAGGAATGACTCTAGTTTCTTATTCTTTATGGCTGAGTGGTACTCCATTTTATAGAAAAACCACATCTTCTTTATCCAGTCTCCAACTGATGGGCAATTGGGCTGTTTCCAAGTTTTAGCTATTACAAACTGTGCCACTATAAACATAGGTGTGCATGTTTCACTGTGGTATGATTCTTTTAATTATTTTGGAAATATACCCACCAGAGCGATAACTGGGTCAGATGAAAACTCTAATCTTAATTGTTTGAGGTATCTCCATATTGATTTCCACAGTGGTCACACCAGCCTGCATTCCCACCAATGTTCCTTTCTCCCCACAACCCCGCCAACATTTGTTATTGGTTGATTTCTTGACAGCAGCCATTCTTTCTAGGATGAGGTGGAATCTCAGTGTGGTTTTCATCTGCATGTCTCGAATGACCAGTGATGTTGAACAATTTTTTATTTATTTGCTCCTTTTACTTCTTTGTCTGCAAAATGTCTGTTCATTTCAGATGCCCATTTTTGTTTTCTGGTTGGAATTCAGTTTCTTTTTTCTTTTTATTGAGTTTATTGGTACAATCTAGGTATACAATACAGCTACATTCATCATTGGGATTCTGTACCTTTACATAATAGGTCTTGATTCTCATTTTTTCCCCTTGTCCCT